TCCTGTGCTTGGAATGACAAAAGGGAACCTTGTTGTGACTAACCACAAATAAGAGGCAGCAGAACCCTTRGTTGTTGTTGTAAGGGTGGACAGTATACGAGTTTTAGGAAATTAACTTGATTCAGTGTTTTTACTGTCAAGGCATTTTATTGAAAAAGTGAAAGTACTCCAAAACCCACAAAACAGGTTCTCAGTTTTTCACACAAATATGTTGCACTTATCTGTTCATATCTAAGGGCGGTGAAAACTTTTCAAATGTAGCAATATAATTAGCAAGGTTTATAGTAACTAAGTACATTTACTTTGTTACAGGACTTACATTATTTTTGAGTATTTGTAAGTTTACCCAATGTTTTTTAAATCCTTACTTTTACTTTTGTTACATTTAAAACCTAACTCAAAACAGATCATGAAAGGAGTTATTTATACACTCTAAAAAATGAAGCATTGCGTTTACTCAACCAAGTCATGTCAACTAGTTCCACCAAACCTAGTTGAGCAAATATGAAGCAATATACATATTTTCTTTATACGGAAAATATGTATATTGCTCAATTTACTCAACTTTGTTTACTGGAACCAGTTTGGTTCAGTAAATTCAACAGTTTATTTCTTGTAAAAGTACTTTTTTATTTCTTCTTTTTTACAGTTTTATGACTTTTACTTAAGTATTTTTCTCATCAGTGAAATGTATTTTTACCGAAGTCCTTTTATGTTAACGTATTTTCACTTTTACTTACTGTAGTTATTTTTAAGTACTTTATAGACCTCTGAAAATGATTACATTTTTACTGTAAAAGCTACTCATTTCATTGTCATGAACAACAACCAAGAAAAATATACATATATTTTATACTGTATAGTGTACATATAKAGTATGTACACAATATACAGTGTATACTATGTATACACAAATTGTGCATATACAAATCTGTAGGACTTTGTTCTTAAAGCCATGACTGAAAATAGTCAGTAGTGATGTCTACGAAAGAGCTGTGTGAAAGTCAGACAAGTTTGATGTATTAGTACGTATTAACAGTCAGTTTGTTGAGTAAACTCCATAGTTTTTTTACAGTTTTAATTTGCATGTGTTTAAATGAAACTCTTCATGTCCAAAGTTTTAAATCTCTCAAATTCTACCTCAAAAACTTGATTTCACAGAGAAAAACGATACTGTAATTTATCTGACCACTGACTAAAAACATATGAGATCGTGCAGCGGGATCATCTGTCTCCCTGTCTTTGTCTGACTCTTCCTTTCCACACTTCCCCATTTCTGGTTTTTCTCTTCATGTTCCACGCTCATCTTCCTTCCTTTACTGCAGCCTTTTCTATCTCTTCACCTTTTCTCTTGCTCTTAACATTTTCTCTTGTGGTTCACAGCCTCTCCTGTCTCCTATTCCTTTCTTTTCCTCCTGTTTGCCATACAGGACTCTCCTGCTGCGAAAGCTGGAAATGTTACTGCATATTGGAATTTCTTTTCAGGCAAGTCACAGTACTCGGAGCAATGAAATGTGGTTTGTTTGACTTTAGGTGCTACGTCAGAACAAAAAAAAATGAAAGTTAGAAAATCATACAATATACAGTACCTACTTTATTTCCCATAAAGTAAATACTGCCATGATGAGGATAAAATGTAAAGAATTTTGAATTTTACGGCATCCAACACTCAACACATCAACCCATTTTTTGGCAAATGTTCCAACACAGAAAATAAGTATCTGTAGCCTCGTGTACACTGCTAAAAAACAGAACAACAACAAAAAAAGAAKACAATGAGTATGTCTGCCTGCAGGCCTTGTGCTCCCTGACAAAATAATAAGCCAGAATTCCTCCAGTAATTTGAGTTTCTAGTATCCTGCCGGCTGTAATCTGATTGAGTCTGTTTTCTGTCGCAGACGGATTTTAAGAGAGGACATCAGATTGGAGTTAACACTGTTTGCCTTTCTGTTTCCTACACACAGACAGAAAGTCCTCAAAATCTGCACAAATGCAACGGAAGCACGCAACGAGGCAACAGACTCAATACACTTCACTGGTAATATTACTAACACTGAACCAAATTTATTAAGTTTTCTGAACGATGCACGATTTTAAACTTGCGCGAAGACGACCTGCAAGTCCTTCCTCTGCCCACTTTGTACGAATGTGTCATCTGCGTGTGACTGCGTACGTAAAAGCAAATTTGTGCTSGCCTTGGTTTCTCTTCAGCAGTGAAGTACTTGTAATAAAGTTAAACAGTGCAGACAGAAGGAGGCCACGTCCTTCATCATCCTCCCAACTCGCAGGAGCTGTGAGCACAAACACAACCTCCAACTAAATCACCAACAGTGACAAAAGTCCTGCTGAAAAAAAAAAACAATGACTGCTGCACTCTACAAGTGACACACAGTTTAAGCAGCACTACAGAATGTGTCCTTTTGACGGCACACTATTAGTAATTCTGGTCAATTTTCTCACCTATCTGCGAAAAATCAAAATCTTACCCGAAATTCTTTACAGTAGAATGTGAAGTTATAGACAACGACACAATTTTAGACTCTATACTTTGATAACGTCTAAAATAAACTTTCAAGAAAGTTTGATAGTAAAAAAAAATCATTAAAAAGGTTTTTAAAAAAGAGGCTCTTAAAATGACTGACATGCATCTTGGCAAATTCAARGAAGAGACCCATAAGAACACAAGTGAACACATGTAAACAACAGATTGGCTTTTACTCCTCGGATGCCGAGTTAGGCTCGGGTCCAGATTGCAARGAGGTGTTTGTTTGCATCGATCTCCCCTGCTGCCGAGAAAAGGGATGTGGGTGTTSAACGAGTGCAAAAAGACTTGGGTGCAGTCCTCCAAAAGTGTCAGGTGATGTAGATGAATCTCAGGTCAAACTGAAAGATAGATCATCGTTCACGTTTGCCCAAGAGGACCGAAAGACACCAAATGTAGATGCTCCCTCCTGTTTATACCTCCTCACTCACACATACAMCCACTGATCTTCAAAATAAAATTAAGATGAAGGAATGATTGTCATTAGGGCAAAGATYAAAGTCATGAGCAATGTCTTTAAGGCAGTTTGGTTTTATTTTCTACAGAGCCATCCAGTGACACTGGATTAAAAAAAATAATGTGTTTCCACAAGATAATTTTGAACAACTGCGTCTCTTTGTAAGAGATACAGATATTGTTGGAATAAGAATGTCTATGAATACACTGTTTTTGTTTTTAACTGTTCAAAGGTGCCCCACACTTTTTGATTTGACCCTTGTCAAACAGACTGACATCTTTTCTACAACAGGATGTGTCTTTCAACATGGTTGTTTAAGAAATGAGAAGCAACTCATTGCACCAGTTGGGGTTAAATAACTTATTGCCAGCTGTAAGATAATCGCTCATGCAGTAATAACCCAATAGGAGGCTCGTAACTCTGTGCTTAGTTAAATCCAAGTGGCGACTGTTTGTTTTTGGCCAGGCTACGTAGCTATATTCCTTTACCATTTAAATTTGTTTATGTTGTCGCATTGAACCATGTATTTTAAATCAACAATTAGTTTAAAATGCATTTTTATATTAAATTAAGTACCAAAAAATAGTTTCCCCCCCAAAAAATGTGACTATTTTTTCTTTCTTTTTTTGGTGGGAGCCTTGCAGGCCGGACAGAAGTCACATGCGGGCCGAATATGGGCACCCAGTTGAACAGCGCTGATCTAACGGTTCATTTTTCATAAAGCTATTATTTATGAGATGACACTGAACGCCCTTACTTGTGTGTCGGGAAACATTTTTTTACTGTGTTCCTGAACCTAACATAACTCAGACTCCTTCCACACCAACGATGTGGCATGACAGAGGAGCCTGTTTAAGAGTTTTGAGCTTTAAAAAAAGYTTTTTTGGACAAARACAACTCCAGTCACCACCTGTGTCTTATAGCTGCAACATATAATGTTAAGATTCACTTCATGGCTAACCACAAGTGACTGAAGCATGTCATTTAGTCTTAGATTAAAACAAAATGAAATTACGTCAAACTTGTCCATGTTAACAATCAACTGTCTTTGCATGCCTCCTGGCCAAACAATAACTATCTCGTGGCCACAAATATACCGTATTTATTCATGTATAATACGATCTCATGTATAATACGACCCCCCCACACTTTTTTTAGCTTAAAAAGCATAAAAAATTTAATCCTCAAACTACCTCCAATTTCATGCAGACTTCAAGATTTTTCAGCCTTTGCAGTCTTTATACATATCAGTAAAATGATCATTG